GTCAATACGCCAGCACCATTATTCAGTAAAACCTGAACGGTGTTTGAAGCACTATTTGCAACAACAATATCGTTGCCTCCATCACCATTTAAGTCGGCTACAAATACGGACATTGGTGTAGTGCCAACTGTATACGATACTTGAGCAGCGAATGTGCCACCACCATTATTTAGGAAAACGCCAACGGTGTTTGAACCACTATTTGCAACAACAATATCTATGTCGAGGTCATTATCTAAGTCCGCTGAATACACAGACGCCGGTGCAGTACCAGCTGTCAAATATGTTTCAACACTAGCTCTCCCAGTACCATCATTCAGTAAAATACCAACGTTGTTTGAACCTTTATATGCGACAGCAGTATCGGTACCACCAGCACCATCCAGATTTGCCAATGCTATAGACACGGGTGTTAATCCAACACCAGTCGCATAATTCGTTGGCCCGTTTAAGTTTCCAGTGCATGTTGCTAATAGGAAGAGAAAACACAACGAAGTATTTTCAGAGGTATGCTCAAGTACTACTTCTGCGGTGCGATTTCATCCGTGATGATACAATAAGGGCAACGCCTAATTGGACTACATACATAGGGATAAATGGATACTGCGGTTATACTCTCGGAAAATCTTCCCTTTTCTAACATAGTTAAATGTTTTCTTGAGAAATTTAGAAGTTTATTTTTCACGGTCATTTTCTCTAAGCGTGGAAGTGAATCTCTCTATACTACATTATTTGGCTACTCTGGATCATTCATGCTCTTGATTAAATCATCATTCGCATATCATCATGTATCTGAAGTGTGGTTGTGATATCAGTGTGCAAGAATCTTCTAAGAATAAGTTCGCGCACATCACACACAGCAACGCTCTTTATAACAGAAAACTTCATTTTCAAGGTTTTTAGAAAACATCGAGATGTGTGAACTGCTGAATGACATGTATCCTTGATCAAGGGGTCTAGAGAATTTTGCTAGCTCAAAACCAGTTTTCCTCACAAGCGAATTCATCAGAAAAATCAACTACAGCTGACGTCCGCATTTATTTTATAGATTCTGAAAAGCGTTGGTTAAAATTATGAAATGGAGTGAGTTTCTCACAAAAGGTCTCTTTGTAGACATGCAAGATTCGAAAATTTTCAATCTCGAAATGATTTAATGAACGCTTCGGTTATCACTTCAAAAGGTCAAGATCGTTTTGCTGTTAGTTTTTCATAACTAATTAGTACATCCCAGAGATTTCTGAAGCATTTTTCAAAGCGATCTCAGATGAGCTTTGTTCAAATTAAGAAATTCAGTGTATTTGCGGAACGATGTTATTCACATTAGAACAAGAATAAAATGGACCTCCAATGAATCTCGAGATTATTAGAAAATAATATAGGCAAATCGATGCAAACATCGAAAGGATTAAAGTTAATAAGAGATGGACGAAATGTTCTCGAACGTTTCGAAGCGATTACCTTCTTATTTACTGGTTTTCGCTACGATGATTCATCAACTTATTAGCATCCATCATCTAATCAGAAATTAAAGTTCCAAAGATTAAAATCACTATATGTAGAAATTCTTGAAAATTGACGAACATCTATATAAATATTCCTGAAGTATTAATACCATCTCATAGCACGGATTTTATGTGAAATAGTTTCTATGAGATGATCGAGCGCATAAATTTCTTGTTGCATAGTACACAGATAAACGAGAAAACTCACAACCAATCGATTGGATAATATTATGCATGACAATCAAATGACTTTTAGGTCCTTCAGATTGCAGTGAAAATCAATCAAAAATTCAAAAGATTGTTGCAACATTCCTGTAATGATGGCAATATCGATATTTATAGTTAAGATATTGGCTTGATTATTATGAGCTCAAAACTTAGAAGATTGACTCTTGCCAATATACAGATTGGCCTTATCTGGTCTGATTATTAAAAGCAGTACATGTAACGGTAAGAAAAAACTCTACTAGATCCAACTTTGGTTTTGGTAAACATTTCCACAGCACCTTATTGATTGAATATTCTAAATCAATCTCAGTCCGAATCCTCTTTATGATATACCTAGTGAAAAATCTTCAATGAAAAGACAGCTAAATTTATGAATGATGATTTTATACTTAGTAAAGGATATCGTAATGCTAGCAAGCTAAGAATGATTTGTGAAGTATACATGATTTACTATCAAGAGATTTCTAATATGCTGAAATATATGCATATTTCGATTTCTTGACTGAAGAAAATTACAAGGGTTGAAGCATCCAATATCCTTTAAATATTGGTTTCCTCTAAGCTAAGTTCTCAAAAATAAATAACGCAAATATATCTGCCAATACATATCAAAATCTATGAAACAGAAAACTTTTTACTTGTTGTTGTTGTTGTTGTCGTAGTACTTGTGGTACTATACAGTGGAAAATCACCAGTTTTACTGCAAGTATATAACCCAGGTGAAATAGAGGTTCCGTCAGATAATACGAGTAGTGGTTGAAACGATGACGTATATGAATTAATCTTAGCTATAAACTTATTGTTAGGTTTGTCTTTGCAAGCCTTCGATACACCACATTTTTTCTGGGCAAGCATAGCTACTATGAATTGCATAAATGAGCGAGCCGATGGAAACTGACTACAACTAGTTCTAAAACAGGATTATACACATAGTGAGAAAGAATGCATTTTTAAAAAATGATGAATAATATATACTTACAAGTCACGCTTCTTCCTGTAAAGTCCACGACGACGACGACCACTAGCACTATTTGAATTGATTATAACGTTTCTCACTATTAAGGAACCTGCTGACAAACCATAGTAGGCTTCTAACTAAAATTTCATTCAATTCAATTACTTAAGATAGATGTGATAAATAATAATAATGTGGTTACTTGTCGAGCTAAACTGTCCTTATTAATAGCTGTTGTGCTTTGACCGTTGTTTATTAGCGAATCTGTAGCAAAATTTAGGGCTATGTCGGCCGATGCTAAAAAATAAATGAATGATCAAAATAAGTGGTCATTTTTCATAGCATTTTCGATTAAAAAAACGAATAACTACATGAAAAAGCTACTTGAAGATAATTGCGATACAAAAGATATTCATTTCCAAATGTCAGAGTGTTGTAAAATTAAAGACTTTCCTGCCAATGTGAACTCTTAAGGACGTTTTCTTCCTCAATTTCTTATATTACTAGTGATCTACAAAATTTGCTATTAAATAGTAGATGAAAGGAAAACTAGATTCATTACTGATCTATGTTTAAAAAAAAATGAATAAAGTTTTTTGACATATACTACGGACATTTCTGTAAATTTCTTTGTTCAAGATCAACACTTCATCCTTATGATTCTCGGATGTCACCAAGTGACTAATCAATAGTTTAATAGCTGTTGACATGAAAATTTGCACCGACCCAGGTCGAAAAGTACCGGCTGGTTCCGGCAGGAAAACACCAGAAAGCAACGGAACATGGAAGCAGTATTCCGGTCGGAAATTTTTCGGATTTTTTTCCGGTGGATTCCAGCCAATTCCTGTTCTTTCCGGCAGGAACCCGCCGGAAAAAGTCCGAAAAACTTCCGGCCGGAATACTGCTTCCATGTTCCGTTGGTTTCCGGTGTTTTCCTGCAGGAACCGGCGATCTTTCCGCGTCTTTCCTGCCGGTTCCTGCAGTATCCGGTGACCGGAACGATCGACCTGGGGATCCAATTTTTGAGGGTAGAGAACTAAATTTCTCATTATATAAGTCCTCTCATACTATTTCTAAAGCTTTCATAACAGTAAATCAATATACAGAATGATCTCCTATTCATGTGAAGGAGATAGTTGACAAACCTGTGCTGTAATCATTTACAATACCGTCACCAGCCTTCCTAAGATAGACAGGTATCAAGGCAAGTACGATTGCAGCTGCAATCGTAAAGAGAAGTAGACAAATGCATAGTGCAGCCGCCAAGGGTGCGATTCCAGTAAACCAACTTCTGAAATAAAAATACAGAAAATGTACATCATTCATTTATCAGTAATAGAAAGCAAAAACAGTTTCAAAGTTCAGCTGATGAGGTGAAGTGTTTCGAGTGCAAAATAATTTTCAACTACAACTATCATCATGTTACTGGTTCTGACAAGTAGTGTAAAACTTTAACTTCTATTCAATATATAGATCTTTTCAGCAGAGCAATGAGTGTTATTTTAATGATTTCTCGCTCTGTTTTAAAGCTTTTTGGGAAAAATGAGTGACATGTTTCCAATGTGTAGACTTGCAAATTGATATGTCTCATGGACATCGGAGTTTTGAAGAAGATACCGTTCAAATATATGTTTTCATGCTAAGAGATTTGGTTCTGCGAAAACTCATATTTTATTGTAAATTGGAAGCCCTTGTTCTTGAGATTGGATTTTCTTGTAAAAGTTTTAGAATAGATTAAAAGGTGTTTAAAACAGTATTCATGAGCAGATTTAGTTCGCACTTGCAAACCTTTATTTTTGAACAGTAGCCAACCAGTGTGTTAGTCGTAGTGTTGGTAAAAAAAGCGTCGAATAACTTACGGTCGCTCCATTGTATCAATATTTTTGATTTGTTTAATATTGTGGTTGAAAGCTATTCCGATATTAGCAATTCAATATTGTCAGAAACTTTGGAATAACAGTTGTAAGGTTGATCTCTAAAAAAGTATAAGTCAGATGATAGATTAGTTTGATTCGCACATAATCGAAGGTTTAATTTCTCTGAGCATCGGGTTCATTCTTAGTGGATCTCTTCTGAAGGTTGAATGATCATGAGCAATAGAAAGATTCACTGAGGTACATTTTTTTACTGCTCGTTTTCAATTTGGTATAGGTGATATGTATTTGTAGCAGCATCCTCTCATTTGCGAAAACATACAGTCGAAAATTCAAAGTTTATTAAATTAAATTATACTTCATTTTCTAATTAATTTGAATTTTTCAGATTAAAAGCGATTGAAAATATCAAATTTTCGATTTTTAATTCGTTAAAACTCATTTCTTGAAAAGAACTCCGAAAATTAAAATCGTTTGCTTTTATTATTTTATATTTTTTTTACTGAAACGAATTTCAAGAGTCATTTTGTTTGAAGAATTAAAATTTGTAGAGTTCGCTCTTGTTTTCTATGCAATTTCTATATTTTAGTTTAGGAAGATGTAGAGTTCGCTTGATATATGCTTGTAGGGTTTCGATGTATTCAGCTCTTATTAGTAGAGTGCGCTAAACTACGTCGTGCTCTTCTTCTTTTTCTAAATTAAGTTTCATATTTAGAGTTCATTAGACCGAATTACCAATACGAACGTGATAAGCCTGTTTTTGTATTGGAACTCTATGTAGTTTCTATACTAATATAAGATCAACTATCCATTGAAAAGAAACTATCTGGAAGCCAAAAATATAATTATTCAACAACGAAAACTGTGGCAAAAACGTAAACGGGACAAGATTTAGGTGTTGGTATTCGACTTCTCTTCAAACAAGTGTTCACCAAGGTCACACTTTGAATGGATATTGAATCATGTTTGTGAAACATCAGAGAAACAATTCAAAATCTCCCTTCGATCTTCATCAAAAATTTCTTTTCTTTTCGCCCCTTGCTCGAGCTATATTAGAGTTCGTTTTTCAATTTGAGAATTAGGTAGATCACCTTCCTAAAAGCGTTCCTGATTAAGATTAAGATTCATGGTATTTAAACTAAATCTATGATCTTGCTACGTTCCAAAAAAGGTTTTACAAAAAAAACTCACCCGATCAACCTATTTCAGTGAGCTAGTTTAAAATACGACAAGATTTCATTGGTGGTTTTTAAAACAATTTATTCGATGCTACATCTCACTTATGAAATCTTCTTTTTGGCGAAGCAGCAAAATTCATAATTAATCCAGAGCTGATAAAGCTTTTTGAATCAAATACTTTGAAATGTGTAACTAATTTTGTTTTGCTGCCATATTCTTACACTAATCTTTCAAAATGAGAAGTGACACTTTCAGACCGCATTCGCTTAGCTTTAAACAGACTACACGCGGCACTTCTA